CTTAACTACATTAGTATAAATTTGCAAAGTTGAGGATTAAATTTTAAAACGCAAAGTTTAAGCTTATTCGAATTGTTTTAAAAATTAGTTTTATTGATAGCATTTACCTTCACAATAGTACGTGAAATTTCAGACGTTTCACGTTTTTCTTTCTACATCAAGCTTATCCTAAATAATTATTCATTTCAGTTTCTTTTCTTGTAATTCAAAATATTTCTAACTTCAGAATGTCAAAATTTATTGCAGTTTACGAATGATACATATCCAGTAATCGTTTATATTCATGGTGGAAATTTCCAATTAGGTTCTAGCGCAGATTTTTCACAAGAGGCTATTCTTAACAACTTTGTTTCACGTAAAGTTGTATTTGTTTCGTTGAATTATCGATTAGGTCCACTTGGTAAGTAAATTAAAATATATATGAATTTAAGAGTAACTATATTTTCAGTAGTTTTAGTTAAAATCAATAATTTTATTAGTGAAACTATTTGTTGTATTAATATTATTATTCTCATTACCATAATTACTACAGCTTCAATACACTATCAAACTCAATTTATTGTCATTGTATTTATGATAGCATTTTATACCAATAAATAACAACTATCATGCATTTTCCTTGCTTTAACTTTATTATTTCCAGTATTTTAATTAATGCCATTCTAGGCTTCATATCCACTGGTGATGGTGTGATTCCTGGGAATAACGGTCTCTGGGATCAAATTTTAGCTCTCAAATGGGTGAAGGTTAGAAGTAGTTTATTTAGATTGAAAAATTTTGATCATATCCAAGTTTAAACTTTTTAATTATAAAATTAGATTGATATACTGTGGTTTATTTAGCTTGAAATTGGATTTTTGTCAGATAATTGCATCTCTTTTTTTACCGTATAATTTGCAAAGTATTTTTTTTTTTGGATTTTAATTTTAGATTATTTCAATATATATTATTATCGATTGTATTTTACAATAAAGTATTAATTCAAATTCTTATTTAAGTTCAAGTAATTACAGTCAAATATTCGAGTGTTTGGTGGCGATCCCGAGAAAATATTGTTAATGGGACATGGAAGTGGAGCTGCTTCTGTCTCACTTCTTGCGTTATCACCTCGTGCTGAAGGTTAACATTTTAAAATGACAACATAAGTTTTAACAAGTATTTAAATTCTGAATTTTAATTGTAAAACAAATGTAAAAAATCGATATTTCCATTTCTTAATTATAAATTTAATCATTTGCTCATACAGTCATGCAAAGTTAAAATCGAGAAAAATATATTTTATATAATTTAGGTCTATTCCAAAGGGTAGCTTTACTAAGTGGTACAGCCTTATCACCAGGTGTTGTACGTGATACTGCTATAAATGCCACGTGGGCATTAGATCGTAAATTGCACTGCCGTTCTTTTAATTCCAGTGAACTCTTGGAATGCTTTCGAAAACAGCTCAAAGATGAAATCCTTGACCTTTCTGTAAGTAAGCAATCATTTTACTTTGGTCCCTTAACTTTATATTTTATCCTATCAAATAAGTAAACTTATTTTTTTACCGAATTTTTTTTTAGCTTCATTGTTTACAAATAAAAATTATTTTTTACATTTGATATTTTATGCATTTTATTTTTATATGTGTTTGATAACTTTTTAGTGGACTGGAAATAGTGACTACGAAGAATTTGTACCAATAGTGGACGGCATTGGGGGTGTTCTACCAGATTCTCCAGAAATGCTTGCAACATATAGGCGCAAAATGCCAATGATGATTGGTACCACCAGAGATGAAAGTTCCCTGAAATTCTGTTTGTATTTCATATTTAATCTTTAATAAGATTAATTTTAATTCAATATAAAAAATTGAATATTTCCATAACATATTTAATCATATATATATAATGTTTTAATTCAAAAATCAGTCATGTATTTATTGGAATGAAATTAAAAAATTAAAAACTTAGCTAGTAATCAGTCCTAATTTTAGTAATTATTAATGAAAGAAATATAAATATGAGTGCGATCACACGACTTCAAGCAGAAGAAATGGCAGAAAATTTGACACTATCATATTCTGGCTTTATTAATCATCGTTTAATTATGGAAGGTTGTAAGCATGAGTATATATGGTCCAAGATTGATCCTGCAATGGATACTTCAGTACTGTACGATGCTGTATTAAATGTTAGTCAAGCATATTTAATTATTTTATTAGTATTTAGAAGGAATTCTTTTTATGATTACAACCTCAGGGTCTGTCATCTATGAAATTCATAAATGCTTCAACGTTCAGAAGTACAAACTGCAATATATTTGACAATTAACATCAGTGCTTTTTAATTTTCATTTTTCACTGGACTATTTTTTCCATTATGTTCTACTCCAGCATGACTTATCATATCAGTATGTGCATGATAATTCATACTTTATTGCACTTCTGACCATTATTTTACAAAATATCACTGACTACTTGAATTATACTCAAGCAAATTTTTACATAAATTAGCTGTAGCACTTTAGACGGGAAAATTAATATGTATATTTGTTATTAATTTATTATTTAAGTTAATTTCTAAGTTTTTTGAAGCAGTAATCAGTAATGTAAAAACTGTAGATGTATTCACACTTCTGGTTCGATGCACCAGCGTCACGTTTAGCAACATATTATGCAAAGGGTGGAGCAGCAGTATATCTGTATTCTTTCGATCACATAAGCGAAAATTTTAACTATGACAGCAAGTTTTATTTAATTATTAGTATTTAATAATTTCTATAGTAATTAATAGAAATTTAATAATTTTTATTATATTTAATAATTAATAATTTAGTATTTAATGATTTCTGTAGTAATTTCTATTAATAATTAATTATCAAGTAGTACTGCATAATCTAACAGTAGCATAAAATTAAGAAATATTGTTATATTAAACTTTCATTCATCAAACGATTTAAGTAAAAGAAAGTATACAAGTATTGAAATCAACAAAACTCGGTTTACTTTATTATTTAAGCGTGGAATATTTGAATTTTCAATTTTTTTTTGCGACTGAAATTTTAATAAATCACGACCTCATCGTAAAACATAATTTAAAAACTTTGAAATTAAATAATAAAAGACTGCTTGAGTAAGATATGGCAGTTAGCTTAATCCTCTCTTATATTAATAATTACTGCATATTTTGAGGAGCATTTCATGGTTGTGATGAAGTATTTTTGTTCGATGTTGAGCCACGATTTCTTATCAAAAGACGTGATCGAAATTGGCAGTTAGATCGAAGATTGACAGAAATTTTCGCTGAGCTAATCATTAATTTCGCTAGAACTGCGTAAGATTATTATAAATGTATTTTAAAAATTATTAAAGTATCAGAAGATTTTATACAAAAGTATTTTAATTAAAAATTACTTAAGTATCAAAAAATTTTATGCAAAACTTCAGATTTAATTTCAGATTTTAATTTCAGATTATTACACTAAAAAATAATTACATAAATTTATTAACTGCTTGAGTCAAAAATGATTAACTGAAATTACATTTCTAATTTGTATTGTAAAAACTTTTTTCATCGTTTTCTATTAAGCCTATACGCATGTTAGTAAAAGGACAGCTTTCTTAATTTTTAAAAAAATATGTATATTTTTTTGCCTCAAAGAAGTTATTGCATTGCTTCTGAATTCGTGATGTACATAGATGTGATAGAGATGGCTGTCTATCGTTATTTATGAATTAGCTCATAAAATACTGTAATATTTTGTTGACAAAAATAAATAAACATATTTTTGTCTTAATTATTCATAAATTTCATCTTGAAGCATAATAAAACTGCAGATGTCAGCTTATAAAATTAACAAATGTATACTCATATCAATTTATTTTTCTTTTCAAAGAATAAAAATTTCACTCAACTTATTAAAATAACTTATAGAATGCCTACACCAGAATCTTCTGGATTCTCATTCAACTGGACTTCTATGGAAACAGATAAATTGAACTATTTATCAATAACTGATAGTCCTACAATGGAAGTTGGTTTTCGATGGCAAGGCCATGTTTTCTGGAATTGGTATGCTCGTCACTTAGATGCAGTTGATGTTGGCAATTTGCATCGAATCGCTCAGCTAGATAAACAGCTTGGTGATTATCAGGTCAGATCAATTCATTCAGCTCAGTTCAGTTTAGTTCATATTCTTATTCTTTCGATTGATTGATTGATTGATTGGTATAAACTTGGAAGTGATCTCAAGTTATCAAAATAATTAATGAAAGCTAAAATAACTTT